GCAACTCAAACTCAACCGAAGGTTCGGCCAAACCTTTAAAAAAAGCCGTTTGGCCAAACCTTTAAAAAAAAACCCTTCCGCCATGACAAATATGCATAAGGGCGGACTTACGATGAGATGGAAAGCACTTGCCAAACTCGTAAGACTTCTTCAATGCAATGAATCAGAAGACATATAGTTTCAACTAGCCACTTAGCCATCATGATGCGTTACACAAGTGCTTCTAATGCTTGCGAAACAACTTGATCCTTCAAGTATCTTTGCCACCCCAGGCCCCCCTTCCCAGGTTCCCAACAGGCTGTTTAAGGCTCCTGTCTCCCTTTGTGATGGATTGCCGTGGTACGCTGAGAATACCGACCGCTTTGCAGTCAGCGGCACTTCGCCACCCACCACCCCACACTCCAACCCTGGCCATCTCACACCGTTCCACCCGACCCCGCACGATGCTATACTGCAGGCTCCACAGTCCATTCAAGGACCACTCTACTCTTGCTCTTCTCATCCGTCCAATTGTCTTCCAAGTACATCGGGATATTGCCTGCAACCCTCGGCATGACTCCTCATTGTTTCGAGACGCGCTTCTAAGTAGATTGTAAATCATCTTCTGCAGGAATTCTTGCTGACTGTTCGGAGAGACATAAACTGTGCGGACCTTATTTTGCAACTAGCGGTCGAAAGGCGTCAGAAACATGTCCAGCAATTTGAGCATGTCACCATGCTGCATTCAATCGGGAGTGGTCCGGGCACAGAATAAGCCGCTCCAGGTCTGACAGACAACGACCGGGCAGTCAGAAGAGGAGCCATAGTCAAGCTCGTTCAGGCCTCAGGCAGAATTCGGAAGTACAGATCCTTGCACACGTTGCGGTTGTGTTCTAGAATGTTCTAGAGCCAAAATGTTCTTGCTTTGTAAAACGTTTCGGCTGCAGCGCTCGGAGTGTTTGAAGTCTGAAGGATAGAATGCGAGTGAGCAGACCTGGCGAGGCGGCCAGGTCTGGTCTTGATGTGGTGTTTTTTCTTAAGCAGCACCCCAAACCCAAAGCTTGCAAAACAGCTGGATCGAAGACAGCCTCGGTAAGGACAAGGCACTGCTGAGCAGTCGTGCACTTAAGTGTCTCTTCATGGTGATATTATCATTGATGTGCTCAGTTCTGTGCGTGGCTTGGGTCTTGGAGAGACAGCGAACCTTGAGGCAGCAAGGCCTCTCCTGAGCATGTCAGAAGAGTCTTTCTGGAGGAGCTGCACAAGCCTCTATTCAGAATGCGGCAGCGGCTCGATTGGTGCCTGTGCAAGCGAGAGAGCGATTGCAAGCCCTGAGTGGTAGGTCATGTAAGCGCAGAGCGCTGCATTCATACAGGTGGCCGTGGTTCAGCAAGCCCTTTCGTTTCATGCGCCAGGTTCGCAGATCAGGGTGAGAAGTGTCGCGAAGTTTCGCTGTCTATGACACTACGCTTTGCAGATCTCTTACCGGCTGCTGCCCTGGTCGTACCCCCGATAGAAGCAGTCTGTGAGCAAGTACTTGTATACACAAGGTACAAGATCTGGAGAATGTTCTCCCGCTAGCTGCTGAGGATAAGGGCGTGCATGGTAGTTCTTACCGGCTTTGATCGGAGAGTTTTTCCAGGCTGTTGCTGGCGGCTCTTCTGGGCAGATTCAGAAGAAGCCTGGCTGCACCTTTCTTCGCGGGGTTTGCTGCTGGACTTGATGTGTTGTTCGTCGGATGGTCTTGTGTCCAGGTCACCCTTTTCCTGAACAGAGCGAGGAGTTGCGGCTCGAGGTTCGTTTTCACAGACATATACTGTGCGTGGCGCTGCCCACCCCAGCATCCAGTACCACCCTCGTGAGGCCTTGCGACTTTTGAACCACCTCTTCGATCTCTGCAAGGAGATGCCAACGCCAACATTGGTACCTGCAACAGCCTTGATAAAACGGTGCAACAAACAGAATGATAGCAATTTAATTAATATGAACCTGCAGACAACAAGAGCTGAGCAGATGACATGCGTATCCCGATGTAGTTAATGGCCTATTGTTTGCTCTCTGCCTTGAAGGCTTCCGCCGAAGATGCCTCTAGAATTAAGATGCGCTGCTTGTGAAGCTACAGCACTCTAACCGATTCTAACCCAAAGAAGTCGCATGGAAAGTGCATGTCGACATCCTTGGGCGCACGAAGCCACTGGGAGCCAGCATATCGCAAGTCGACGCCGCTAGAAGAAACAACCGGTCGGACATGTGCGAGCGCACTGCTAAGAAGACCCGCGGGCTGGAGACGTGGACGGACGGTGCACCAGTGCACAGTGGACCCGAACTCCTTTTCTCTAGAGCCGCTCCGTCTGTGGGGGTTTCTCGGTCTGCGATTTCCCGACTTCAGGAGCGGCTCAGTCCTTTTGCGAGCGACGTCTTGGATGCGTTGTCAAAGGCTCCGACTGGTTTACACAGATGCGATGCTCTTTGCTTCTGTCCTACTTCTCCTGTGCTTGTCAGGCTTTGACGGACACATGCCCTGACGCAAAGAAGGAGTGCTGCGAGATCACTAAGAAGGCAGCCGGGAGCTTCCCATTTTGAGGACCTCTCGACTGTGCACCAAAGCAGGTGAGCCAGTACTTTGAGGCAGAGAGAGTCAGCCGTGCATGTGGACCTCTTGCCTTGCCCCTGGCTGTCGTAGGCAACTTCCACATTCAGCATAGAAGTCCATAAGCCCCAAGCAGTGGCTCGATGAATTCTGTGTGTCCACATAACCAAGGTGGGGTCGCTTCTGGCCAACCTGAAGCACCAGCAGTGGAAGGCTGCATTTCTCCTTCTTATTCATTCCCTTCCGCGGCTGTGTCCGTGCAAGACAAGGTCTTGCATTGTTTTCGATGTTGTACCTATGCTTTGGAGTTCGATGATGCATATGATGCACGACATTCTTTTGGATTCAGCGACCTATGTTGTCGCGCATGTTGCTTTGGACAGCGCTGCAGGACGTTCGCAAGGTGTAGACCTTCGACTCTGTCCGTTTCACGGTGCAACCCATTCTGCATCACACGCAAATACTGAAGTGTACCAAAGTGTTCTTGGCTGGCCGAGTCTTTCCGACTGCGGTTTTAATTGTCCGCTAACCATCACAGCCCTAGCCAGGTTCGATCACGTACGGGGTGAGAGGGCCCCACAAATGCGTCGCTGGGAGGGGGTTGGGGTTGTCAGCCTCTGGATTTTCGTTTTGGAAGATGGCACATGAACTCCAGTGCGTTTCACTCGTTGAGTTGTGCCAGAAAATACATAATCCCCAACTTGGGAAGCCAAATCTCCCGCCCGATACCGCTCCCATCACAGCCTCTGCCGTGACGGACAGCCTCAAGCCGGTCAGGTGAGAAGAGCAACGCTTGAGAGCATCGGTGCGTTGCTTCTGCAAGAAGCTCCGATGATGGACCACATGGAGGCTTGCCGCAACCCGCTCGCGATTTTGAATTGTTGCGACAGTTTCGTCTGTAAGTCCGATTGGTCTTCGTTGCCTCTAGAGCTTGCCACATGTGAGGTCAAGGGTTTCGTTTCAGTTGTCGCACAAGTCTCGACACCTTTCTGAAAGCTCTATCGGGAGCGAGTAGTAGACTGAGTGAGAGTGCTGGACATGCTGGACAGTGCTGGGCACTTGGCGCCACACCTGGAGGACATACTCCCGCATCTCAATGCACTTCTCGGCGACAGGATGGAGCACTCAAGAGAGTTCCTTGAAGTTCCTTGCAAACTTTTGAGCGCATGAGAGGACACCCGGCGTCCGACAAAGCCTGGCAGAAACTCTGGAAAGGACGGGGATCGCCTGGATCCCTTGGATCCCTTTCGCATGTTTTGGTGCTTGAGATTGTTCCGCCTCTCGTCATTTCGAGACCTCGCTCGCAGGTGGCTGCTGAAAGGCTTGAGCTTTCGAGCTCCATTGGTCAGCAACTTGAATGATGACGGGCCTGCGCCTTACTCACATCATAGGATTCACCGTGAATCGCCGACAGTGTTGCATGTGTTCATTTGTTGCTTCTGAGGCCGGAAGGTTTCGACAAGTTCGAACCGCGTTTGCTGCTGCTCCTGCTAGGTCTGCTCAGTGAAGCGGGATCCCCGTCGGCCTGCAACCGCTTGACGAAGGTGTTTGTTCGGATGAAGAAGCTGAGCAGGCAGCGGCACTCGGTGCAGAAATTGCTACTGGCTGCTTCGCTTGTGCCTTCGCTTGTGTTTCGGTGGCCCGTGACTCTTCTCCGGTCCCTCACAGGTTGGTGCAGTCGCTTTTGGTGGTCTTGAGCGTGTGGCTGCGTTAAAGCACGAGGCGGGATCCCGGAGGACATGGAAGGATCTCGTTGCATTCTGTTGCCTTGTGCCGAGTTTTTGGACAGGTGCTGCTCAAGCGGGCGCAGAGAGAACGAGAGCGGGAGGACATTCTCGTCACCTTACTACCATGGCTGTACTTTCTGAGCCCGTGGAGGAAGCCAAGCAGAAAGCGAAGGATGCCAGGGAGAACAAGGCACCCGCGCTTGAAGCTGCTTGATTCCAAGACATTGACCGGGAACTTCCGGTTCCAACTTTGACCTTCTTTTGATTGGGTATGTAGATGCTGTATTCATGGAGGCTGGCTACAGCGAGGATGCCGACAACACCAGTGTCCTGGAGGACGTTGCAATCTACCACGAAAGTGCGGCCAGCTCAAGCGATGCAGGAGAAGGTCAACCAGAAGTGCAAAGACCCCGAGGTGGTGTCAAGTCAGAGCACGGCTCGGGCAAGGGAGAGACAGCTGGACTTTACGGGCCCCCTTTAGCTCCGAAGATGCTTTGACCTCTCTGCTTAGCACTGTTGCACTTTTCGTTGTTTCCTTGCACGGCTGCCAAGACTTGCACTGAAACCTTCGCAGGTATGCTCAGTTCGTAACGAATGATTACTTGTCACTTTTTGCGAGCTGCCTCGCAGGTCGCACCGGCCTTTGACTACACCTCTGTGCTGCCACTTTTGCAATCTCCCCAGAAGAGTGTCGCAGGCTGATGTTCCTGCTATTAGCGCGTTGCAAGACAGATGGTCTGTCCTGGCAGGGCATGGCATGGCATGGCATGGCATGGCACGGGTTTGCTTGATATGAGCCAGAAGCTGTTGATGGGGTGCCGATTCCGACTGATGCACGTGCTGTAGGCCACAGCCATTCGCAGCTGGACGACTGCCAGCTGCTTTGACCACCACCTATGCTCGCAGCTTACTTGGAATACCTCTTGCAAGGCAGATCAGTCTCAGCGTGCTGCAGACTGCTTTAGACATGTATCACCGCCTTTATGCAAAGACAGCCGTACTGGATGGCGGTCCAGCCTGTTTCGAGACGAGTTCTTTGCAGGTGAGATATCATCTGGCAAGCATCCTTCCTCAGGCTGCATGAATACAAGGGGGCAGGGCATGCTCGAGTAATGCGGTGATGTGGGGCGGCACTGCAGGACTGGAAGCATCAGGAAGGGCAAAGCTGATGTTTCTGTGCCCGCGAGGTGTTGGCGAACCTGACGCAGTGGACAACAGATATCCGGGAAGCAGCGGCCCGATGCCAAGCCTAGAAAGAGCATGCCTCGTACCTCCGGTGACAGCTATCACGACCAAAGCACACGTAAAGGCGCCGCCTCAGTGCCACCCAGTCCGCGCCCAACTCTCTTTGACTGAGGCAAGACTACTGCAAGTGCTGCTGGTGGACACCACAGCCTTCGCTTATTGAGTGTTGCTCGGTGCGGCGCCTGTGCTTTCTCAGATTTTCCTGCGGCTGTGAGGTCATCACCAATCAGCAAGTGGCGCCTTTTCTGGATGGTGTGCTGGTGCACTTGTACAAGGCGGGGTGCCCTTTTGGGTGCGTCCTGGGCTGAGACGCCTTAGATGCCAGGCCCAGGCCGACGACGATCAAAAAGTGGCCAAGGCGGCGCTGTTGTGTGCGGACCCCGGCCACGGCGGCCACGCCCGAGGTTTTCTGCGTCCAAGTAATGCGGGTGCCCTGGAGGTGCGAGCATGGTTGGGGTCTTCCTTGATGCGGAGCTAGTCGGAATCCTGTGCAAAAGACTGACAGGCGCTTTGCATCATTGGCTGTTGCCTTGTTGCCTTCCGAGGTACTGGAAGTAGTTGGCAGGCATCTCGGCCTCAAACAAGAAGGCTGACCGACAAAACTTGCGAAGTTGCCACATGGGCGTGTTGGACTTTGGTGCGCTTGGAGTTTTCAGGCGGACAGCGCAAGGGCACATCCTTTGACGAGCTGTGGCCGCAAGACAAGCAAGGTCGCCATGGGCTAAGGCTGTTTGTTAGCAAATTCGACTTCACAGTGGTCATGGATCCTGCGAGATGGGCACTTTTCAAGGCCAAACAACAAGAACGGTGCAGGAGAAGTGTCCTGAGACAGCTATAACACTCTAAAGGCTCTAAAGCAGCCTGGTGTGTTTGTGTGGCAGGACGTATTGGCAGGGGTCAGGAACTTTGCTGCGATGACTGTGGCAGCCCCAGAACCTGCACGTTGTGATTTAGGTTGCCGTTGTGTCTTTCCAGCTACCGTAGCTGGTCAGGCCGAGTCGCGACGGCAAGTTTTCATGGTGCTCGCGAGGTTGATTCACCCGTCGGTCCCCGAGCTTGAGACGCCCGGAATTGAACGCAAAACCAAGCAGATTTGCTGCGTACATCCATGAGGACCAATCGCAGCTGAGCTGAGGTGCGCTGGCACTGACGATTTCTGTCGTCGCCTGAAGCCCAAGGAGGTGAAGCTAGCCCTGCGATTCTTGGAGGACTTGGCTCTGTGTTGCTATGGCGGAATGCCTTGCATGGGCTTGGTGACTCGAGAGGTCGTTGGTCAAGCGTGTAAACCACACATTGTCATAAGAGTTTCCATGGTCCCATGGAGAAATTCCCCTCCTGCGTGGCGTCGTGAGGAGGGCATTCACAGCGAGTTGCTGACATCTGTACTTGGTGCCACGGAATCCTTGCTGAAAGCAGGCAGGTTGGCTGATAAAGTTCTCACTCCCAGAGTCATCCGGCATCTTAATTCATCAGCACAGGCAGGGAGGCGTGCATAGAAGACTGGCCACGGATTTTCGACCTGCTCCTGCGGATGAAGAGCAGTGAGGACGAATAGCCTTTGTTGGCCTCGTCGGCCACGGAACTTGAGATTTCGAAGGAGTGCAATGCACAGATCGTGGATGCAAACATTGAGCACTTGTCGCAGCTCCTGGGTAGGCTCGGGCTTGGAAAAGGGCGCCGGATTTTGTGTAAAGCATCAGCCTGGCCCAGGTCGCGCCGGCAGCTTTACGAGGAGCATTTGAGGCACCTCTGCCTCTCTGCGCAGTCTGGAGTCCTGCGGGGATGAGAACAGGGGTAAGGGTAAGGCGGGTCATGGCGGGTAAGGGGTACATAGGGGTGCGAGCGGGGCATCGGGGCCGTTTGCCGAGAGGAGCCTGGAGGAAATCTGTTTTGTGGCAAGTTTTTGTGCCTGTCCTTTCCGTGCAGGACTCGTCTCGCAGACCTTCTGCAGGGAGGAGAGGCCGTGTTATGGGAGGACAGCAGTCAGTCACTCTCTTTGTGGTCGGTTCAGGGTTCGGAAACGGTTTGCACACTCTTGTCACGACCGCAGCAGTGCTGTGTATTGCCACGTTGAAACGGAAGTATGCGGGCCGGAATGGGAAATATTATCGTCCAAGAAGAACTAGGACAAGAAAAAGCTTGTGCGAGCGCATGCGAGCGCGCTATGCAGATTGCAACATCGGAGGCACATGAAATGATATGTCGAGTGTCAGGCATGTGTAGCATTGAAACGAGCAGACGTAAAAGCTCTCTGTGCTGCAGGACGCAAGCCCAAACCGTCATGTCTTGGAGACCCTGCGACTCGCCTGCATTCAGAAACATGCTGGCAGGAACCGTAAAAAAGCTCGATCATCGTACGGCTTCTTTCGTGGTAGAAGTTGGTCGAGTCCTTGGATGGGCACCTTCAGTTCAATGCCCAGGCTCAGAAATGCTGGTCCAGCAGTTGCGGATCACGCCACACTCTGAGCTTCTGACTTCGCAGCAGATGCAAAGATGCTGTGCGCACGGCGTACACGTGCAGGCGATTGAAGCAAGCTGCACGGTCAAAGCACTGGGCCACACCACTTACATGCCCAAGCGATTTTTGATCTTAGACCCTAGCCCCAGGCGCGAGCGCTTACCTCTCAAACAGCAGCCCTTGAACAAGCAAGGTTGGGGGCCTCGTGCCAGTGCTGGCGCGCCAGGCAAGCCCGGAGGCGTGTCCTTACCCAATGGCAGCGTCGACGTGCGATGGCTGCGATGGGTAAGTTTGCGAGCAATTTCAGGATGCCAGCGCCACAGCTCGTGTCGACCTGTTGGGCTTGGTCCACTTCCTGGTGAACGAAGAGGCCACATGAGGTACTTGAACACCGAATGTGCTTGCGGCATTTTTTCCGAGCTTTCATGCTTCATCATCTTAAACTTGTGACGTCGATGCTGCATGTGGTGCAGTTTGGTGGGGCAGTGAGAACGCAATTCATGATCCAAGAACAGGCGTACATATCAGATAGTGACAGCAGCTGGAGTGTCTAGCCGGCTTGGCAAGAAAGTTCTGGACGCGAGCATCTGCACAAAGCACGGCTGAGTGCGATGAATTTGTTTTATTAGCACTCGTGGCCGGCACATCCCCGATATTCTTGATGTTGCCACATTTTTGGCCCTCATGTTTACGCGTCGGCACGACGCGAGTTCCCGACAGGCTAAATGGCAGAATCAATGTAGAGTGCATGTCCGCAGGACGAAACTCTGGCCAGCGCCCTCAGAGCGCATGCTCTACCGTTGCTCGATGGCCGGCAGCTCTGCACGGGAGCCGAACGCCCAGCCATTTTTGGTGGATTTGCAGCCCCAGGCATCTTGCTGCCAAACTGCTCTTGGAGGCCGCGGGTACGTGGCGGGCGCGTGGGAGGAACGTCGGCTGTAGAGTTGATGCTGATTAGCGCATAAGGCCTGGACAGTCCAATGGTAAAATTCGAAGAGGTGCTATGGTGAGGCGCTCAGGCAGAGCTTGCAGTGGACGGCAGATAACGGCAAGCTGTTAGGTTTGCGTGCACTCACTTCTCCGACGCCATCTTGTGCCACCTGCAGTTCTCAACGAGGCGCTGCAGGCTGTCGCTCCTGGCAATGGGCTGTGACCTCGCACCAGGTCTTCGTTGACTTGATGCCAATCCTCAAGGGCTGCCTTGACGACAGCTGGTGCTTGACTCAAAGCGAAACCGACGTGTTGTCACATGTTGGCACCAACACGTCTGCAGACAGGTCGCCAGACAACCGCATGATCGCCTGCCTGGTGCTCTCCTGCACCCTTGCAGACTTGCAGGCCGAAGTCCTGCCGGCCCGAGAGAGCACGATGTGTAAAGCATTGTAAAACTTTTCTTCCAAGCACGGAGGCTCAGTCGCTCAAAGTCATTTTCCCAGCGCCCGTTCCCGCGCCTGCTCGAGCTCCGTGTTTCAGGCCGAGATCAACGGAGAGCAACTCCGAGAGGCACTGGCACGGGTGAGGAGGGATGTCGGCATCAAGGAATTAGAGTATGACTCGACATAAATCGTGATGGGTAAGTTGACCTAGATACCAGCAAACCTTCCGGGCTACGCGTTCGGGTTTGGAGGTTTTTTGGGCTGTCCTGACCGTGTTCCAGTGCAAGAGCATCAAGAGCATGTCGGTCTTCGACAAGGTCTACCCAGAATTGCTGAAGCGGCTGGATGACTCGAACGACAAGATCCGGGTTGCAGTGTGCGAGGCATCGGGGGCATCTGAAGGCTTTGCTGAAAGGGGCTCGGAGCTACTGCTGCAGGCGCTGGACGTATTCTTCAAATGCCTTCCTCAAAATTGGAGCCGCACTTTGTACGAGTGCCCCACCTTACAGCGCGGCGGTGCAGGCCCTTTGGAAGCTCGGAGCCTTTGCAGGTACATCCTCCGCAATCTCTTCGTTCACTTGGATGATCCTAACCCAGAGGCCATTTTCAGCCGGCAAACAGAGATAGCCTTCGGCTTTGCCAAGAGCATGGTTGATTCATCCCGCTGCCGCAGATTCAGCAGGGCATCTATGCGGTGCTTCAGGCAGCTGCTCCCCAGGCAACGAATCACTAGCATCGCTTCATCCTGACACTCCATTGTCGGAGCGCTTCCAGATGTGTCCTGCCCAGCAGGATACGGCAACCTTTCTTAAGGAGGCTCAAACTGCTTCTGCCAAGAGCGCGCACCCACGCCTGTGGGACCCCTGGTGAAGGACATGGGCCGAGCTTGCAGCCAAACTGTGACTGCTGGCAAGGTGTGAGGAGCTGGTCCGATTGGCTGAAGGGTTTAAGCCGGGTGAGGCTGGGTCTTTACTGTGTCAACAGTGGGGTGTGAGGGGTGCACTTGTTTTTCTGCGATGTTGCCAGGTTGCCGGCAACTGACTTCTAGTGGCTGCGTGGCTTCGTTGAATTTCGCTGCAAGTTTGCGTGATCCGCGGCAAGAAGAACTTGCCTGCTTGCCTGTGCATGTTAGTGTCGATGGACGTTGCCGTAGCAACATGGCAGCAGTCCGTGAGGCGGTCATTTCTTGCCTCGCAAAGCCCAACTTCCTAGAAATGACCGCCGGCTATTTCATGTCACCGTTGTCACCTGCATGCTTTGCAAAAGGACCTGCAGATGTAGGCCCCTCTCTTCCCCCCCTCCCCTCCCCCCCTCCCTCTTCTCCCTCTCGTCTCTCTCCTCCCTCTTCCTCTCCTCCCTCTCCTCCCCCCTCTCCTCCCTCTCTCCCTCCACTCTCTCCCTCTCCCTCTCTCCCTCTCCTCCCTCTCCTCCCTCTCTCCCTTTCCTCCCTCTCTCCCTCTCCTCCCTCTCCTCCCTC